CTTCTCTAGCCACGTCTCTAGTGCTTGTTGAGGGATTCGCGTCTACGCGATCACCTCTACACTCGTGACCGTAACCGTCGGTTGAAGGTTGCATACTAACCTGACACACTGACCCCGACCCAGTTCTGTCGTCGGGTTGAGCTAGTGTCCTAGTACCACTCGGGGATGTCGCGGCTACAGGACGGTATTCACATATTTTTGATGTTGCATAGCCCTTTATTTCGGTTCCCTTAAGACATTGATGTATATGGTACTAAGAAAAATTGCTTATGTTTTCAAGATCTACACGTCGTGTAAAGGAAAACGCCAACTTTGCGAACACCCTGTATATTTAAAGGAGAAAAAAGGGACTATCATTTTCCCTGAAAATATATTGGGAGTTCCATTTTAAAAAATAAAACCTCATTTGATAGTATTTTTCTGAGAAAAAAAATATTACATGACAAACTTCATATTAGACTGTATAACTTTTATATACAACGTTTTCTTCTGGAAGGTTATACAAAAAGTTAAATTTATAACCGGAGTACTAGATGGTAGTGTTATATACATGCATCATGCATAATATTAAAATCATGTTTTAAAAGGAAAAGAAAAATTAATTGATGATTGTCTCCAACTTTGCTGTTAAAAAATAATATTTTTAAAGTCCAAATGATTCGTAGGTGGTGGTGATGCAATGTAGAATCGTATATTTGTAAAGCATTTATGGAAGAAAGACGGCTTGTGAAGAGGCATAGTTAACGTATTCACAAAACAAATATTTCTTGAATGCTTAAGCCCACGAAACACAAGCTTCCATTTTTAAAATGGCGGAACTGATGTATGTGGTTAGAACTTTTATTTGATGAGCTCGATTTCCAGAATAATTGTGAAGAGACTTTTTAACGAAAGCCAATAGTTGTTCAAAGCCCAAAATACCAATACCATATCGTTAAATAGATTTTCTATCTTCGTATATTTGAACTGACAAAATGGCACACTGGTAGTCAAACTCTATTTCAAAGTCCCTAAATGGTTTAAACCACAAAGAACAAACTAAGAGGCTATATGCGTATATGGCAACGTTACTTAGCGCCGTTTGAAAGGTTTTTTAAGTGTTCCTAAATTCGCTAACCAAGATTATACGCATTTCTTATCAAGTCGAAATTTCAATCTTCACGGGTGATTTTTGTATTTTTTTTCAAATGCCCTTGTGTTTTCTTGTAAAACGGAGAGTAACTTTTATAAATTAGTCAGAAATTTTGTACTGAACAAGACTTTTGAGAACAGTTTTGGAGTTCTTGCCTTATGCGTGTTTCTCTCTTTAAAATAATCCTTTTTTTTTATATCGAAACAGCCGCGCAGGTAGAAACCTAAATGCCGGAACACCGCGGCTGCTATGATGATCCCAAAGAAATTTTGTTAATACGATTTTTGAACTGCCTAAGGTTAGTAGAACTGGGAAAAGCTTCCTCCCGTAGATTGTTCCACAATCTAGACACCCTCGGGACAAAGGAGCGGTCGTATCGGCCAGTTCTGGATGTACGAAGTTTGACACGGTTAGGATTGGACGCCGAAGTCAGGCGGGTCTGTCTGGCAGGCACATCGCGCGGCGGCATCATGGAAGAGAGCTCTGATGAGCAAAGCCTGTTGGTGTAGCGATAGAAAAGAGCTAGATCGTCGACGGCCCGCCGGTGCGAAAGAGTCCCGAGACTGTCTGTTAGAGAAGAGTCATCGATCAGTCGGACCGCCCTCCTCTGGACAGCATCGAGCATGGATAATGTAGTCGGGGCGGCAGCACCCCAAATGTGTGAGCAATACTCGAGGCTAGGCCTTATCTGGGCCTTGTATAGAGTGAGAAGGTCATGCGGAGAAAAGTACTTCTTAGCCCTAAACAAATAGCCTAGCTTTTTCCCAGCAGCTGCAGCTATTGAAGAGATGTGTTCGTGCCAGATCAGGTCCTCGGTGATCTGGACTCCGACCAGCCGAAATGAATGGCTCTTTGGTAGGACTCGACCGTCCATCGAAACTGTATGAGCGCTAGGACGCTTTTTGTTCGTCAAAGTACAGTACTGTGTTTTGGAAGCATTGAACTGTACAAGATTGTTGCGTCCCCAAGCAGTGATAGCCTCCAGGTCTCTTGTCAGAGAAGAAGTCGTCGCTAGTCTTCTTTTTTCCAGCTCAGCGGCAGAGATCGGCTTGTCACTCTGAATTCCTGCATGTAGAGTGCTGTCATCAGCGAAGCTGTGGATTGGGTTGATCGTGCAGGAAAGGAGGTCGTTGATATGTAAGAGAAACAGTGTTGGAGCCAAGACCGATCCCTGGGGAACACCCGCGTTGACGTTGTGGGATGAAGAGGAGAATCCGTCAATTACGACGGATATCTTGCGGCCAGAGATAAAGTCAGCCACCCATCTGCAAAGCTTTTCTGGGACGCCATAGGATGGAAGTTTGCTTAAGAGGGCAGCGTGCCACAGCTGATCGAACGCTTTCGTGATGTCAAGAGCTACGACATGAGCCTCACCATGAGACTGGATGAGTTTACTCCACAGTTGCGTGACGTAAGCTAGGAGGTCCCCTGTGGATCGTTGGTGCCGGAAACCATACTGCCTGTCGCTAATCAAGCTGTGACGTTCGAGGTAGTCCAGAAGCTCGCGATTTATGCACCTCTCCATCACTTTACTTATAACAGAAAGCAGAGCTATAGGCCTGTAGTTGTAAGGGTCGGTTTTAGATCCTTTTTTTGGGATGGGCTGTACATGAGCAAATTTCCAGTTTTCTGGGAAGGTGCCGGATTCATAAGATATCTGGAAGAGACGCGAAAGAACTGGAGCAAGCTCAGCTGCACATCTCTTCAGTACAATGGCAGGAATCAAGTCCGGACCAGAAGCTTTGTTGATGTCGAGCGACAAGAGCACTCGTCTTACGGTCTTATGCCTGAATGTTACCTCCCGCATAGTGTGGGGAACCCTTTGAATTGACGGCACTTGGGCGTTGGTGGGGACGTCCATGGTGGAGTTGGCAGCAAAGATCTTGGCTAGCACTTCCGCCTTGGCCTTTGAGTCGAATACAATAGTTCCATCCTGACACGTAAGTGGTGGAAGGCTACTGTGTGAGAAGTTCTTTTCAATCTGCTTGGCCAGCGTCCAGAAAGACCGACTGCCATTGCGCTGCGACATTACCCTGTGCCTAACTTTTATATCATGCTGGGTTTTGGCATTGCGAACCGCTTCGTTATATTTGTTTCTGGACTCGACGTCGGCTTGTCTGTTCTCTACAGTGGGGTTTTGTAAGTTGGTTCTGTGGGCCTTGATCTTCTGTCTAAGGCTCTGAGTTTATTAAAAAAGTCTTTTTTGTAATAAATATTTGTTATTTGTTTCTTAAAATATAAACAACTAATGAAATAAAAATCGATAGAAACGATAGTGCAGAAGACACGTTGTCGAATTTTTGTTTCTATTCTGTAAATAAATGTTTTCTGGTCTTCAAAGAAAATAAAAAATTTTCCACAAATTATTTGTAAGAAGATTATAAAAATCACCCTCTGCAGTAACCCCGTCTCTATAGTATGTCCAAATTTCTTATTTAGACCTCGAAAAATATAGGTCGGTTATCACGGCACTGCAAAATTATTTTTTCTTTAGAAAAATACAAGGCGTTTGTTTCTGAAAAGCCCTTATTTTTCATAGTCACTTTTTTGTTTATATCTCGAACGATAAATGAGTTATCTAGATAATAAGAAGAGTAGTGGTGAAGATGAGATAACGAGCATAATCATGAAAAATTGATTACATTGATACTTATTATCAATAATTGATCGGAATATGGCATTTATCCTGTCAATTAAAAACATAACTTGTCATTCCAATTCATAAGAACCAAGGCGATTTGTCATATTTTGAAAGTTTCAGACCCATAATCTTTTATCAGTTTTTTCAAAAATATTTTATATGGTGATGAATAACAGAATATTGAATTTTTTAATTCTAAATGATTTGATAAAGAAACTCAACCTGTTTATTGAAAGTAAATCAACTCTTACAGCTTATTCAGAATATTATGGTAGACTTGGACCGGGTATCTCTCTTAATCTAACGAAAGCGTATGACCTAGATCACATTATATTACAGCAAAAATTTGAGAAATACGGCGTTAGAGGTCCAGAGCTTTCTTGGATATAATCATACCACAGCAATCATAAGCATAAAGTGAATCTATTAGGACGTAATGGAACACTGACTGACAATACTAGATTTCTTGAATTAGATACTTACCTCAGGTGGGACAACCATATATATTATTTAAGAAATAAGCTCAATTAGGTATGTTATTCGATATGAATTATTGCTTAATATTTAAATAGAAAAACTTTGAAAGTTGTGCATCACTGAAACACTGAATCTAGATTAAGGTATGGAATTATGTGAATCGGAAACTGTAGTGACTTTGATGACATTTTTGTGATACAAAAGAGAATATTAAAAAACATAGCAATACGCTATTTTAATAGCTTTTGGAGTGTGTATTCAACAGTGCCTCATATATCTATTTGAAAATAATTGTTCACAGTTAATGAAACAAGTAACCACACAAGAGTTTTTTACCGTATATTTATCCTAAGCATAGATTAGCTTCATTTGAAAACGGTACGCTTTAAAATTGTCTAGAACAAGTTAACCATTTAGCAGGAGTTGTGAAAAAAATTGTATATAAAAAACATGTTATATACAATATTACTGAATCTAGCAAGATTTTATCGTTACTTTTACTTGGTTGATGCTATTTGTATCACAAGTGGTTTACAGCTTTTGTATAGCATTTGTATTTGCAAATAAAGCTGTTATTATTATTATTGATAGTACTACAAATGTACGCCTTAAGGTATTTAAATTTTAAAAATACTTGCATGCGCTATTTCAAACATGATCAGAACGACGAATCTTTTCAGATTAGTTCTACGAATAAGGTACGACGATCCAACTGCAACATTTCACCTAGGTGAAAAGTTTGGAGCCTACCCCGAGGATGCCAAGCAACTGCTGGCCGTAGCTCGATACTTAGATCTGAATGTCATTGGAGTGTCTTTCCATATCGGTTCGAGCAGAGGACACAATCCAGACCTAAATGCATTCCATGGAGCCATCATAGCTGCAAGAACAGTTTTTGATGAGGCTGATGATCTAGGATTCCATTTCACTCTGCTTGACATCGGAGGAGGATTCTGCGGTAATAAGGGTGCTACTTTATATGAGGTATGTAAAAAAAATTCATAGATAACCTGTAAACTGAGAATACAGGTTGTAATGTGGAAAAATATATTTAAAACAGTGCTGCTGCCATTCTATTGAATTCAAGCTATGTTTAATGGAAATAATAATAATAATAGCATTTATTGTCCAAAAGTTACCCATTTGCAATACAATTACATGAACAAACTAAACTAATAGTCTACTACAATGTTTGGAAAGAAAATAATAAATTTAAGTTCTAAGAAGAAAATGTAATGACAACTAACTCTATTGAGATTTTTACATATGACATGCGCAGGTGACTTAACCAATAGGTTGGTTTTGCTCTAGATGGTTTAAAAGTGACATAATTGCGGAGGTACATTAATATTAATTTGCGCTAGAATATCGGGGGAGTCATTATAGTTTGAAAAGAAATAGTGCAGACTAAACCTTTCTTCTGAATTCTAAGCTTTGAATTTCAAAATGCACACACCACTCTGAATTGCTAAATCCTTACTCAGGATAAACTCCCTCAGACTTCTTATGAAGAAATTTAAGGAACCTTCCTTGAAACTTTTCAATTTCGTTTATATACATTTGGTAATACGGGCTCCATATAATACTCGCATAGTCAAGTTTGCTACACACATATATTATGTAAAATATAATAAATATAAGAAAATGGGAAATGTTTATCTTTGGTGATAAAGAATACCAAAATCTCTGATTGTGTCACATCTATTCAACAACGCACCATCAATATTATAGTTGAAAATATGAATGTTTTTTTTCCTAGTATAACTAACAACCTTGCTCTTGTCGGTATTTAGATGTAAATTGTTGACACCAAGTCTGAATACTATTCAACTCTATCTGTAAATTCAGACAATTATGAGTATCTCTTATAGATGAATATGTTTTCATGTCAGCAAAAAATAATTGCATACATTTCAAATTTTCACAGAGGTCATTAATAAATAATAGGAATGAAAGTGGTTCCAACTTAGGCCCCTGGGGAACACCGGATAGAGTTGAGTAGGCTTCGATCTTGAACCTATTATATATTACGCCCTGATAAGATCTACAAAAAGTTATAGTACTTACTCTAATTCCAAAGTGCCCTAATTTCCTTAACAAAGTTCTTCTTCTTCTTGTTCTTCCTACTTTATTAATAGGCTCATGCCTGTTTTACTTCGGTTTTTACCCTCAATTGATGTTGTCTGACCGTCCTTTCCTCGGTCGTCCCATTGATCTTCTTCCATTTGGCGATTTATCTCTTCCTATTCGTACTGTTCTATTTTCTGTCATTCTTTCTATGTGTTGATTCCATTCTATTTTTCTTCTTTTTTGCAACAGGTTTATTTCCTCTATACCACATCTCGCTCGTATTTCCTCAGTTCTTACTCTTAGAGTTTGGTTTGTTATTTTTCGTAAGACTTTCATTTCTGCTGTTTCCAATAATCTTTGAGTTTTCGCCGTATCTGCTCTTGTTTCCGCTGTGTACGTCATTATCGTTCATATTGTTGATTTATACTAGTTTTCGTTTCCGTTGTGAGGAATTTGTTTCTCGAGATTGTATGGTTGGGTCATCCTGCTGCTCTGTTCGCCATGTTCACTCGTTTTTGTACTTCTTCTTCCACTTTTCCATAGCTTGACAGTTTGATTCCATAGTCAATTTTTGATACATGATTTTGTTAGTAGTGCAATAATTTTTTTAGGTCGGTGCAGTCATCAATGACGTTCTTGATAGATACTTCCCAGAGACAAATATTGATGTGATAGCAGAACCAGGACAGTATTATGTGAATTCAGCATTCACACTGATCACGCAAGTTCACACTAAAAAAGTTCTCAATGGGCAGGAAATTGCAAGAATGTATTTTACGGATGTTAGTGTTTACAATTCGATGATTGACGTAGTTTTCAAGGTAAGATTGATAATTAATCATTGACTAACTACAAAAGCATTAATGCAGACTGCCAGAAAGATTGGGTAATTTAACGTATACTTTTCTATTTACCTGACAAATATTTTTTGTAGGTTCCCTTTGACATGACTCCAGTGAAGAATCGTAAGCCAAACTCTCGCAAACTGCCTAGCATTGTTTGGGGGGCAACGTGTTGTAGCAATGACAAGATTTCTGGTGATATCATCTACCTTCCAGAATTGTATATTGGTGACTGGTTGATGATCCATGATATTGGAGCATATTCCATATCAATATCCAGCGACTTTAATGGATTTCCATTACCAAATGTGCATGCGTTCATCAGGAAGGACGACTGGTAAGTGAAAATAAAAATCTGGATGATAATTATTAGCAATCCGCTCAAGCCGATATCTGCCTGTAAGCTGGAGAAAAGAAGACTGTCAGCGACTTCCTCTCTGACGGGAGACCTCGAGGTTATCACTGTTTGGGGGCGCAGCAAACTTGTACAGTTCAATGCTTCCAAAACAGTACTGTACCTCGACGAACAAGAAGTGCCTTGCGCTCATCCGGTTTCGATGGATGGCCTCCCAAAGAGCTATTCATTTCGTCTGGTCTGAGTCCAGATCGTCGAGGAACTGATCTGGCACGAATACATTTCGACAATAGCGGCAGCTGCTGGGAAAAGTTGGGCTAATTGTTTAGCCTCTAGCATGGCTCACAAGTTTGGAGTGCTGCCGCCCTGACTACAGTGCTGTCAAACTGATCGATGACTCTTCTCTAACGGACAGTCTCGGGGCCCTTTCGCGCGATGTGCCTATCAGACAGACCCGCCTGACTTCAGGTTCCCATCCTAACCGTGTCAAGTTCAGTACATTCAGAACTGGCCGGTATGACCGCTCCTCTGTCAAGGTTGTGGAACAATCTACGTTAGAAGGCTTTTCCTAGCTCTAGTAATCTTGGGCAGTTCAAAAATCGGATTAACTAAGTTTCTTCAAGCTCCTCATAGCAGCCGCGGTGCTCTGGCATTTAGGCTTCTGTCTGAGCGGCTGCTTAGGTGTAAAAGAACAAGTAAGAAAAAAATGTTGTTAGTTTTAGCGTAGCAACTGACATTTTTCATGAAAGCGAATATTACTCATTTCTTTCTGTTAGTGGATCGTCATCATTTTTAGCATAAAATAATTAATGTAACTTTTCAAAAATAAATCATGCAACAGTATTTATGAAAACATGCACGAAACGTTAAAACTCATTCACCAAGCATAACTGTATTTCAACATGAGTTCTCAATGCTTTTATAATAGGTACAGATCATCTATCTCAATGTTTAATCTAAAGTATGTAATTTTTTAGAGGGCAATAGAAATTTTAAGATCTGAAATTTTTATTAATATGAATACTTGTACTTTTTATCTAATCTATTTGTTCGCTAAATTATAGCGCTGATCAACCGAGCATGAATGTGTCTGCATGCGAACAATGTATCCAGTCACATAACCTGGCCATTTTTGACACGTATGAAAACGTAGACATGAGTCTCACAAGATGAGATAATGAATTAATCCGATTACGTTCGATAGAAGTGTAACACAGTTGAATGTATGGATATGATGCCGTAGAAGGGTTTAAATTGACCTTTAGTGGACATGAAACGGCAGCAGGATTGCTTATCTTCGCTGTGCACTAATGATGGCGAAGAGTCTTTTTGAGCCTATTGAAACTAGTACAATAAACCATATCACTTCTCCCTCCTGGGTTTCATAGATAGAGGTTTGCGCTACACGAGATGTGAACTTGAAATGTATAGAATGGCTTTCCAGTTGTTTGTGAATCTCTATAAGCTTTCAGCGACAACACGCTGCTCCGCAGTTCATCCTTAGAAATTCGAGGGCATGAGAAAAGGGGTACAATGGAGGCCCAGATGTAAGATAAGTCGTTCTGGCCATATGTTCGGTTAGGGGAAACACTAAAACACCACAATATCATAAAATAATGATGAAAGTTCTGCGTATTTCTTTGAACTGTAGTGGTAAATTCACGTGAAGATCTCTGCAACTTTTGGGACGTCTCGCTTCTATGTGCCCTCGGGCATGCAATCTTTATTTAATCGCAATGCGCTTTAAAGCAATAAAATTAAACAAGTTGTAGTTTTTTCCCTTCCCGGGAGCCACCTGATCAAACTCCTCGATGGCACTGCAGCCTCTAGGGCTTATTGTATCTTGCTCCTCGAATTTACAGTACCCAATCCAGCCGCCTGGTGATATGTACCACTTGGTACAGTTTCCCTGCCGGTACTGTTTTAAGCTGCGTCGGTTCTAGTTTTGGTTTCTCGAAGAGTTGATGTATTTTGTGACAGAGTGCCTCTCTCATATAAGACATGTAGGGCTGATTATTGTGCTGATTTCTTACCCATTCTTTGATTTGGTTCCTTATTGTGCATTTTGGTACCCTCAAGGCAGGTTCTGGGCCTGTAAAGGGTGTGGATGATCATTTCCTTACCAGTTTCCTCAACGTCCTGGCACACACATCAAAGTTACTTTGCCTAGGGCTTTTTAACGTTATGAGTGACGCCTGACTCTCAGTATATACGGCGATCCCTTTATTATTATACACTCGCTCATTATTTACTCTTGCGTAATGCACGATTGCATACACTTCTGCCTGAAATGCAGAGGTCCGTCTTCCAAGTGGTATACTATGGTCACGATTGCACCTGTTCCCGTATATACCTTCACCTATTCCTTGCTCAGTTTTTGACCTGTCTGTGCACCAGGTAATTTGCAGCTGGAGCGCTCTTCATTGCGCATGTTATCGACAGGCAAGCAAGTCTTTGAACCTTGTTGTATCATCTTTGGCCATCATACCATAAATAAGTTATCATGGGCCTTGCTACCATTATGTACGTCCAATGCACCATGGAAGGGCTTAATCCCAATGTTTTTCCATGACATCGTCTAGTGAACATTAAAGTCGACTCCGTTCTCATTTTAATGCGTTTGGAGTATCACCCCTCGGGTGCTTGACTTCCCCCAATAGTTGTAACTGTTCTCCCAGTTGATATAAAGGCCCAACCACTCTAATTTCTCCCTTCTGGTGGACTTACGCTTAAACCCTCGTTT